CCCCCCGCCGGCCAGCCGCCCGCTGGCGCCCCCCAGCCAATCAGCGAGCGCCGGCAGCGGAAGCGACGCACCCGCAGCCTCAACCCCACGGCACAGTCCCACCTCCCCTTCCGGAAGTGGACAGGAGTACGCCCCGCCCGCTTTCTACTCGTCACGTGACTGGCGCCCTTGCCGGTCGGGCCATAAGGGGTTTCGGGCGTCCGTGCAAGGGAACGGCTGGTGTGCGCATGCCCGAGGGGCCGGGGTTGGGTGCAAGACCGCCTGGGCGTTGATCCAGTAACATTGAGTTTTATTTATTTATTTGGTCTAATAAAAGATATTGCCTCCACCCAAAGACTTCGCCCGCCTTTCAGCATTGCCAACTCTCATGATTTTGGGCAGTTGTTGTTAAAGGCCACATTTCGGGAACGTGAAAAGCATAGCTTTTTCTTTTATATCTATATTATATAAAATGTTATATTATACATAGTGTGTATATATATATATATATATATATATATATATATATATATATATACACACACATATATATATACACACATACATTGTATAATATTATATATATGAGAGAGAGCTACTTTTTTAAAATTCCCAAAGTGTAGACTTTAAGAACAACGCTAAAAATCGTGAGAGTCGACGACACTGTTTGGCCCAATAACAAGTACCCACCCCCACAAATAAAAGTCCTACCTTCCACACGTTTGCAGGGCAGACGCCCCCTTAGCGCTGCCAGGCATTTTCATAGACTGGGGGTGGGCAAGATCCAGTCTACTAAGGCATTTTGTTTGTGTGCAGCCCACAGCGGGACCGCCTGGCCCAGGCATGGGGGCAGCCCAAGCTGTGGCACATGTGGGTGGTGCCGCCATCCTTCTGCTAGCCAGCCATCCTCCCAACACCTGAAGATGCCTGGCTAGCAGAAGGACAAAGGGAGAACAATTAATTCCCTCCCTGGTTTCTGTTTCCTACTTTGTATACGCCATACCCATTTATTCAGAGTCAGTCTTACCACAACTTCTTTACAATTCATTCGTCTCCCTGGTTTATACAGGCATTTCACAAAGCCAAGGGGAGAACACTATGTTCTCTTAAGGAGAGAACGGTATGCTTGTAAACCCCCAAAATACCAGAAGGAAGAATGGACCAAGAACTATCCTGATCTGCGGGGTTCCATTTCTGTTTTGCCACAGATTTCTATGGTGACCCTGTACCAGTCGCTGAGGCCCAGATCCTTAAAGGGTTGTACCCAACTCCCACTGAAATCAGTGGACTTCAGACATCCAGTTACAGTGTAGGGTTGTAATCTTTTTATGTAATCTTTTTTATGGTATATCTAGCTTTTGCAAACTATATCTAACTGAATACTTAAGGCAACTTACTGATGCTGGGAGGGGTGTGGCATGTGTGTGTTAAGAGATGCTTGCAGAGTACAGTGTGTGGGATGCGGAGGATTCCTGGAATGCCTCCCTAACACCAGCAGGATAATGTCTCCCTGACACTTGTAAGATAGCAAGAAGTTCAGAAAAAGGTCTCATTATAATGCTAAAAATCACACCCCTGGGCAGGGCAAAAGTATGTTAATGAAACATATATGTATGTAAATGAATTACATGGCTAAAACATAGGTATAGAGACATGCTCAGTAGAGAATGTCTTATGTCAGTGGCTTGTAACCAATCACTGAGCGATACACTTGCAAACATATGTATAAAAGGTACCCAAAGGTAGAAACCGGTGGTGCTTGCTTTGCAAACGATTGCCAAGCACCCCTCTCTGCGCAGACTGGAACAATAAAGATTAAGTTGGATCCTCCACCCCTGTGTGTTCATTGGCAATAGCGCACCGGGCACGAACTCACACTGTCTGTTGGGAATAACGGTCTGCGTGGAAGTCTTTACTTCTCAGTTTTTGAACAACCAAATGCAAACACTACTTCTCTACTTTGCAGGGAGTATTCTGAAAATGTGTCGAAGAGTGCAAGGTGCTCAGATACTTTGCTGCAAAGTGGATCACAGAAGGATCTAAGATAGAGAGGTAGATGCATATTTTGATCTTGACTAGAGTTAATTTTAACTAACCTGATGCCAACTGCTCTATTTCTAATTTCCAGCCCACGTTAAAAATAAGTGCTCCCATGAATGGCGCGTGCCCCCAGCAGCTGGGAGGGGCATGGCTGCACTGGCAGCAGCGGGAGCCTGGCAGCAGAGAGTGGGGAGCTCCCACAGACACCACCGGCACTGTCGGCAGCCAGGGGAGGGGTGACGAGTGCCGACCAGAGGTCAGTGACCACCCACGACCAGGGGTGATCATGGGCTGGCGGCGGTGTGGCAGGGAGTGCACCCCCTTTTTGCAGGGTCCGCACTGCCACGCTTAGGGGGTGCACATGCACCCACATGCACACGCTATGCGTCACCCCTTAGTGCTCCTTTACAGTTTGTTTGTTTTGGAAATGCTAGTAGAGATTCTACTTCCACTGTATTTCCTTTGCTCCAGAGCAAAAGAAAAATGTGGCATTGTTTAGACAGATGCTTTATAGTGACTAAACCTATTACCAGACTGTCTCCTTTGAGAATGAAGTTTTCCAGGACCTGCATCTGAATAAATTGCCATCTCTGATTTGAAAAGCCATGGTGCATCTCATAGTCCTTAGGGATAGAATTAAAAACTAACAGAGGGTCTGTTTCTCTGTTAATGTTAGTCATTTCTGTGCTAATAAATTAGATTGAGCATGTATGTTTATATTTGTGTAGGCACTTCAAAGGTTACTTTTGGCAACCTTTGAAGTGCCTACACAAACATAAACATACATGCTCAATCTAATTTATTAGCACACAAATGAATCTATTTTGCTTCTAGGCTGATGGGGCGGGGCTCTATTTTTATGTTGTTTTTTGGCAGAACCAAAGGGGTGTTAAAACACAAACATTTTTAATATTTCATACATAATGTATAGTTGCTTCAATACTTCCTTATGTTTATGAAGTGTTTCATGAGGTCCTTTAGGGGTCTGTATATGACATATTCAGTATTGTTTTTAGTATATTTTATATTTGGCCGGTCAAGAATATCTCTTTCGTTGTTGCTAGGCACTCATTGTGACGAGTTATAATTTAGCTTGGGTTTTGTTCGTTCTTTTACTGTCTACCTTGCATCTGTATCAGTATAAAACAGTATGGGAAGTAGTACATATTTCTCTACCTAAACAGTAGATGACACGTATAAGTTTGGTAGAAGGTAGGTGTCTGACAAAGTAGTTTGTTGCCTACAAATGTTCATGCTGCTCTGAACTAGTTAGTCTCTCAGGACATTTTCACGCGATTTGGGGGTGAGGGAGAGGGCTCTGAGAGCTGCTCTAATTAAAGCACCCAGAGCATCTCATGTATTAGCATCCCCATGCTTCAAAATAGTGGCAGGGGTGCTTTATCTAAAGCTTGTTGAACAAGTTTTAGTTAAAGTGTCCCCACCAACATTTTGTAGTGCGAGGACGTTGATACATGAGACGTGGAGGCTGGCTGGAGCACACTAATTAGCATGCTTCAGCTGGTATCAAGTCTGCTCCAATGTGCTGTAATTACAGTGTACTGGAGCAGCCTCCCAGCTCATGTACAGGCACCCTCAGGTGCCACCCTTCCCTGCCTTCTGCCCAGTGGTGTACCATGGATCTTCCATTTGCACCCCCCCAATCCATGGCCGATCGCCAAGTGGGGAGGGAGGGTCCCCCCAACAGCCAAACGCTAAGTGGGAGCAGGGCCCGGCGGCCAATTGCCAAGCCAGGAATCACCAGTGGCAAAACAGGAAGTGCCACCAGGGGACTGAGTACCCCTGCCCCACCAGTCCAGCACCCAGGGGCATGGCCTCCCCATGCCTCACTCCCTTTGGTATGCCACTGCTTCTGCCTGACTTCAGACTAACAAGGCTAACCCCCTCTGTGTATAAGTTTAGTATTAAATGTCTGTCACAGGCTGATATTAATTTCTGCTAAGTTTTTTTAGTATCTGAGCAGTCCTTGAGCTGCAGGATGTGAGGTCTTCCAGAACAATTTACATAGGCATCAGGTACTCAGCGTCTTTTTGAGAACTCCAAAGTACAATGAAACAAAGTATCAGATCAGAGCAGAGCTGATTGAAATATACTACTGAAATGGCTAACAGAACAAACTCATCTGAGTATTACTGGTCTTATGAATATTATTGGGACTATTTTGATCCATTTCCAGTAGATGGAAGGACGTTGAAGGTTCATAAATGTAAGTACTACATGTAGCAGCTAATCTACTATGTGAAGCATTAGAAAACAGAATAGGATGACTAGTTTCTTTTACATGTGTTTTCTCTTTGTAATATAGACCGTACTGGAATACATATATTGGGCAATATATGCTGATTGGGTTCTAATACCAGCTGATACTAATGGTACAATATTATTTTATTTAGTATAAAGAATGTATATTCTAGAAATATTTTGGTATTAACTCCTAATTGGAAAGACAGCTTATTGAACTCTTTATTAACTGAAAATTGTTCTGAAATGCAGATAAATGGTTTGACATATTCCTGGCTATTTTGTACAGTAGAATAACAATAGATTAATATGCTTACAGATTTGCCAGTTATCTTTCCTTCTTGAAATACAAGGTTTGCACTGAAATTTTTGTGCATTTTTATATATTATTGAAAAAGAAGCCGTATTTTGATCAGTTAGGAAGAGCCACAAATTGAATACACATTTGCTACTTATTTCCTTATTTCTTTAATCTGGCATTCCTCTTTAGCTCATCATCATGATCTCTATCATTTCATAATGCATTATAACAGCTATCATAGTGCTATGAAAACTTAAAAGCAAGTTGAACTATGAATCCTGTATTTAAAATACTGCACAGCAGGGGAACTAGATCCCTGTACGTTTTAGATATTTATTTTTAGTTGATGGTAAACTAAGTGTCATGCACCAAATCCAAGTATATTAACGTAACCTGGAGACTAATAATCTTTGTTTTCCCCAAATATTGAGTTTTAAATGTAGTCTGAATCAACATAACTGATCAAATTATTGAGGCATTCTGGTGACTGATTTAGCAAGTACTTAAGTGCTTTGTCAAATCAGGCCCCAAATGATTTACATAGTGGGCAGAATCCCTGAAATGGAATTAGAGCTACATATTTCAAATGGTACCTGATTTTTATTTAAATATAAAACTCTTGTCTAAATCTTTATGTTTTCCTCCTCCTCTTTTTAAATTGTCTGCCCTTAAATGCCATGGAACTAGTATACTTTTATTATGGATAAACCTGAATCCAGATATGAAGGCAAGAATTTTTTTCCCTTCTACTAATAGTATTAATTGGTTGTACTCATTTTTCACTAAAACAATTTTTAAAAAACCAAACAACCTAGGTTACCCTTTAATCCGTTTGGTTGTAAAAGACAACATTAATGATAACTGTAAAATATAGTAATACAAAAGTGTCTTATAATGAAACAGTTGAAAACCATTATTGCAAACAAGGGAAAAATCCCAGTTGTGAGAGACTAAAAACACTCTGGGAATTTCAGTTTCTTCTTGAAGAGATCAGCGCCCCCCCCCAAAGTCTGTAGCAATTCTGCTATCCTCCTGAATCACTAATGTAAATAGCTTTTTCTAGGTTAGCTAAAGTGAATGCCATGAACAAAATTATTACTAAGAAACAAACCTGCTTTGGTTTGCATGAATCTAAGCGGCCAGGCTCTGTTTACAGAGGTTTTCAGTATTTCAGGCCTTTGCATAGAGTGCAAATACACTCTTTTTCACAAGAACTCCCTAGCTCCTACTTTACAGATTTGGGGTACTCTAAGAGCCTGGTACTCTAACTCCCATTTTCCATTTCTCTCATATTTCTGGGGCACTATCTGGCTTCTGTCTCCCATTTTTGTGGACTTCAGAGATGCTGTAGAGGGTTGCCTCCTCACATTTAGTGTCTAGGGGGGCTGCATGGTAGAGCCAGGCGCTCTCTCATGTCTTTGAACGGATCTTGAGGGAGTCTTAAAACCCCAGTTTATAGGCTCCTCTTTAAATTTAGATTGACTATTGCTTTTACTCTAATATCTTGGGACCTTCTCACAATTGTTTTACAGAGTCCTCTTCTTAAGAAGACTCTTTACAGGTGAGCTCTAACTTTAAATTGTTAGTAAAGTTAATAAAATAGTCTCCATAACAAATCAGTAGCTCTAACAGCAACACATTCTGAATGTTATGAATGCAAGCATAAGATCTTACATATTCAGTTTAATTCAAAGAACATCAATGTTTTTTGTCCTGTGAGGTAAAGATTTACTTTATCTTAGTCAATATTTGTCTTGTGAGCCAGTGACCCCTGCTTTTTCCTCACCAGAAGCAAAAGTGCGTACAGGACAGCCAGTGATCTGCTCTTGGAACCCAACAGTATTAAGGCATGTCTACATGAGACATTTATTGTGCAGTAGCAGACTAATTAGCTCTGCAGTAAACATCTCAGCATTTACACACGTGCTCCTATTAGGCTGGAGTAAACTAATTTACTCTGTGGCAGAATAGTACTTGTAAATACTTGTAATACTAAATACAAGTACTATCCTGCTACAGAGTAAAAAACTCCACAGCAGCTCATATGTAGACACTGGAAGGGCTGGCTAGGGCATGAGGGTGCTTCAGTGTGGGGGCTACCTGCTGGCTAGCCTATGCTGAAGCTCCCTCGTGCCATAACCAGCCCCTTTGCAGCACACCAAGCCAGGGGGAGCAGCCATGGGCTAGCAGGCTAACCCCCTGGTGCCCCCTGCCAGCCAGGGATGCTCTGCCCAGGCTCCACATGCTGCACATGAATAAACTGCGGAGCTTATTGTGCCAGAGTTAATTGCTTTCAGGTGCACATTCAAATGGTGCACCCGGGAGCTATAAACTACAGAGCAATAAGCTCTGCAGTTTATTCATGTGTCATAATTGCACATATAGAGGCACCCACTGCGCTGACCCCAGTGGAAAACATTGCTGAGACCATTACTAGAAGACTTTGGCTACAAGAGACCATCCAGTCCGTGTTATGACACTATAAAAGTACTACAACTAAATATTAAAGCACAGATGGAGAACAACTGCTACAGATGTCAGAGCTACTTCACAGTCTCTTCCATTAGATTAACATGCCACTAGAATCACAACTGACATCAATTTTCAACAAGCTGTCTTCTCTATCCTGAGAGTCTAGAAGGCCAATATTTACGTGCCTAGTTACAAAAGTTTTTCATGGCAAATTCCATCCTTTAAATGGATTCAGAGTTCCCTTGGAGTTTAACAGGTGTTGTCCTCACTTAGCAGAGAATAGAATTTAGCTCAGTCCATAAAGCTAAGCAGCATGGGAATGGTTTCCTTTTAAACTGGCTGTTTTTGTCTTGTGACTGTGTGAAACTGAATTCTGCAATATGCAAATAGCTAAAATTCTCAAAATCCTCCTCAGTGCAACATATTGCTTGCCCAAAAATATACTTAGTGCTGACCTTCCTAGTGGTTAGAGCATAGATCCAGCATTAGATTCCTTTGTTTTATACCTAACTATACTATGGACTGGCCTGCTATGAAATTTTGTATAAGACATAACTCATTTCTGCCTCTGTTCTCCATCTACAATAGACTCTTTCTTATGACTATAATTGTGACCTTCTAATTAATTAAATGGTATAACATACTTTGGGATCATACAATGTGTTTGCTTTATTTTTCATTTTTTGATTCATGATCAGTGATACAGCATGTTGTGTTTCATTTAACAGATTCAATTGTCATAGCCTTTTGGGTTGGACTTGCTGCATTCTTGATGTTTCTCTTCCTCATTTTGCTCTACATGTCCAGATCTGGATCCACACCAGTAAAGTATGTAAGGCTCTTTTACTACAAATAAGCTATAGACTAACAAGTTTAATGCCATCAGCAGCATCCAATAGAGATTAACCTTCCTGAAGCAATAGAATTATCATAGCATTAATTGTTTATTGCCATTCATAAAGTAGAATATATTGTTGGTCATCTGGTCTATGTAAAGGATTATTTCTCAACCAAATACTATTCTATATTCTTTTTTCAAGATCTAAATGAAAATATAAAATCATTACTGAAAAGGTTTACAGATGAAAAAAGATTGGAGAAATGGTAAATAGGAGAGAGAATAAGCAGGCCATCTGTATGTAGTAAACTGGATTGCTTGGTAAGGTGGGTGCAGTCAAGCAACATATGTTATAATAAAGCCAGTCACACAGTCACATGTTACAGGAACAAAGAATGCATCTCAGGTAGACAGGGTTTTGCAACTATACCCTCAAAAACACTGAAAAGGATCTTGGAGTCATGGTGGACAAGCAATTGAACACAAGCAGCCAGTGAAAATATGAAATCTTTGAATGTATAGAGAAAAGGGGGTGTTTAATCAGAATAGGAAGGTTATATCATGACATTGTTTAGACCATCAATAAAAAGTGCCCATTTTTGCATGTACACTTTAAAAAGGATATTGCAAAATTGGAAGAGGTTCACAAGAGAGCAACAGGCCTGATACGAGGCTTATAGAAAACATGTTTTAGAAGAATTCCATCTTCCTTATCAAGGAAAAATGACTTGATGGTTTATAATAAGCATGTACATAGCAAGAAGATTTATGATTTATTGAAAGTTTTTCTGTACCAGTCAAGGGCAAATTTCATAACAATATCTAATGTCTCAAGGTTGAAGCTAGGCAAAGGAAATAGTGCATGATTTTGAGTGAGTGAAGTTAATCACTGAAATAATGTCTTTATACCAAGGTTGGAATTCTTTCCAAAAAAAACAAATACATGTTCTAGTTCAACCACAAATTATTTGGCTTAATTACTAGGTGAAATTCTATGGCCTGTGGGTGTGGACAGAAGTAAACAACTGAAACAATTCCTAGTGTAAAAGGCTTGGAAACATTTTTAAAAGTATCATTATGAACAGCTGAACCCACCTACTGGCCCTATAGCTCTCCCCAGTTGGAGCACTTCAGAATTGCCACTCTCCAGACTACAGGGGGCTGTTGCTGCCAACTTTCTTGGTCCTTAAGTTTCCATCTATAAAGCTCCCTAAGTGCCTCAATTTATGGCACTAGGCATGCACACAACCACTCAGGTCTTGACACTGTCAGAATACTAGTATAGGTCATTAGCCCCTCAGCCTGCTAGCTTTTATGTATCCCAGCTTTTATGTATTCTTAGGCACCTAAATCTCCCCGGGTATTAAGAAGGGTAGAGTGGCACCTTAGAAACTAACTCAAAGAGGCATGAGCTGTTGTAGGTGACAGCCTATTTCTGGGTTCTGAACTAGTTTTTACAACCCCAGAAAGAGACCTTGGAGTCATTATTCAAAGCGGTCTAAAAATGTCAGCTCAGTGTTCAGTGGCAACCAAAAAAGCCAATAAAATATTGAGCATCATTAAGAAGGGAATAGAAAACAAAACAGATAGCATCATCATGCCATTATACAAATCCACATCTTGAATACTGTGTGCACATCTGGTCCCTGCATCTCAAAAGGATGCAGTAGAATTAGAAATGGTCCAGGGAAGGGCAACCAAACTGATCAGGGCTATGGAGCAGTTGCCATCCCAGGAGAGACTGAAAAGACCAGGACTGTTCAGTTTGGAAAGGAGAAGGTTGAGGGGGGATATATGATAGAAGTCTATAAAATCATGAAGGGGGACCAAGTGAACAGGGAGTTTGTGTTCATCAAGTGCCAGACTTCTAGAAGTAGGGAGCACCCACTGAAATTATTAGACAGATTTAAAACTAACAAAAGAAAGTACCTTGTTATGTGGTAGGTGGTTAACTTGTGGAATTCATTGTCACAGGAGGTGGTAGAGGTTCAAAAAAGGTTCAGATAGGCAGGTTCAAAAAGGGACTAGACAAATTCATGGATGATCAACCTATTAATAACTATTAAACAGAATAGTTGGAGATGTTTTTTCTAGTGTCTCTAAACCAATGGTGGTGAATGCCATGGAGGGTAATGCAGAAGGGATAGAGCACTCTAGATAT